AGTCTCCTGGTGGCCTGCCTCTGTCATGTCTAATCCATATAACTCTGGGAGTTTCTATGAGGGTGTGCTCCCACCATCCTCCCATTCCCACCTCTCTGCTCTCAAATTCTCCAACACTAGGGAATCCAAACTTTCAGGCACCAAGGCCCTCCACTTCCACTGATGCCAGACAAGGCCACCCTCAACTACCTATACAGGTGGAGTCATGAGTCCCTCCCTTTGTGTTCTCAGGCTGGAGGTTTTAGAATGGCTACTCCACCTGGTTTCTTAGGACCATTTGCTTGAAAAATTGTTTTCCAGGCTTTTATTCCAAGGTCGTGTCTATGTTTGTCACTGAGGTGGGTTTCCTGTATGCAGCAAAATGCTGGGTCCTGTTTACATATCCAGTCTGTTATCCTATGTCTTTTTATTGGGGAATTGAGTCCATTGATGTTAAGAGATATTAAGGTACAGTGATTGTTGCTTCCTGTTATTTTTGTTATTAGAGGTGCAATTATCTTTTTGTGGCTATCTTCTTTTGGATTTGTTGGAAGAGGGTTACTTTCTTGTTCTTTCTAGGTTCTAATTTCCCTCCTTGTATTGGGGCTTTCCTGCTATTATCCTTTGTAATGCTGGATTTGTGGAAAGATATTGTGTAAATTTGGATTTGTCATGGAATATCTTGGTTTCTCCATCTATGGTAATTGAGAGTTTTGTTGGGTATAGTATCCTGGGCTGGCATTTGTAGTCTCTTAGGGTCTGTATGACATCTGTCCAGGATCTTCTTCTCTCAGAATTACACCAGACATCTGGTGAGAAGTCTGGTGTAATTCTGAGAGGTCTGCCTTTATATATTACTTGGCCTTTTCCCCTTATTGCATTTCATATTTTTTTTTGTTTTGTCCATTTGGTGTTTTATTATGTGATGGGAGGTATTTCTTTTCTGGTGTAGTCTATTTGGCGTTCTGTAGGCTTCTTGTATGTTTATGGGCATCTCGTTCTTTAGGTTAGGGAAGTTTTCTTCTATAATTTTGTTGAAGATATTTATTGGCCCTTTAAGTTGGGAATCTTCACTCTCATCTATACCTATTATCCTTAGGTTTGGTCTTCTCATTGTGTCCTGGATCTTCTGGATGTTTTGTGTTAAGAACTTTTTTGCATTTTGCGTTTTCTTTGACAGTTGTGTCAATATTTTCTATGGTATCTTCTGCACCTGAGATTTTCTCTTCAATCTCTTGTACTCTGTTGGTGATGCTTGCATCTATGACTCCTGATTTTTTCCTAGGTTTTCTATCTCCAGCGTAGTCTCCCTTTGTGATTTCTTTATTGTTTCTGCTTCCATTTTTATGTCCGGGATGGTTTTGTTGAATTCCTTCACCTGTTTGATTGTGTTCTCTTGTAATTCTTTAAAGTATTTTGTGTTTCCTCTTTAAGGGGTTCTACCTGTTTACCTGTGTTGTCCTCAAATTCTTTGCGAGTGTTATTTATGTCTTTCTTAAAGTCCCCTATCATCATCATTAGAAGTAATTTTAAATCTGAATCCTGCTTTCCTGGTGATATGGGGAATTCAGGACTTTCTAGTGTGGGGGAACTAGGTTCTAATGATGCCAGGTACCCGGGGTTGCTGATGCTTATGTTCTTGCACTTGCCTTTTACCATCTGGATCACCTTAGTGCTACCTGCCCTGTCTCTGACTGGAGCCTGTCTTTCCTATTATCTTGGTTGTTTCAGAACTGTGTGGGTGGGTGTTACTACTGGGATTAGAGCTGGGGCCCAAGATCTGTTCAGTCCTCAGGTGCAGACTGGAAGGAACCAGTGCTCTGGGCCAGGAGTGAATTCCTGGGTCCCAGTGTGTTCCAGTTACTCTGTGTTTGGGGCAGGCGTTGCTGTCTCCTTACCTAAGATACTGCCCAGGTTAGAGCTCCTGGGAGGCCTACTTCCTCTCCGTTTTGTGAGATTGAGTGCCAGATTATATCTTTTTTATATGGGCTTCTTGGGTTTGGAAATTCCAGCAACAATATATTTTATAAAGTAACATTTCAGCTTCTTTTGTTTTCTTCTCATGCTTAGAAAATAACTTTCAGGGGAACCTACCAGAAGCCTGGGTGTTTCTCTCTTCTCAGTTTTCCCATTTCATCCCCTTTTGTTGTGGTCATAAGCTTCATTCTCAGAACTGTTTAGTCAGCAAACTCTAAGTGTGACTTCAGCACTGAGGGCTCCTGTAGCCACTCATTCTTTCCAGAATCCTAGACTTTCCGTCGTTCCTGGCTATGTTCCCCGCCCTAAATATTATTCTTTTGTCTCCCTAGTCCTGTGAGGTGACCCAAAGGTGTCTGGGATACTTGTGTGTTGTCCTTTCTCTGGCACATACTTTTTATTTCAACCAAGTAAGAGTTAATTGTTCATTGCTATGGTAGAATGTCTAAAGGAAGCAGGAGGAATTATTTATTGGTGTGTATGATTGACTTGGTGATTGTATTCGTGCCATATGAATTCTGAAGCTAAAGGGGTCATAGAGGGCACTGGAACTGGAGATACAGTTCATTATGAGGTAGCATATGGGTACTGGAACTAAACCCTCATCATCTGAAAGATTAGTAGCAGCTGTTAATTGCTGAGCCATCACTCTAGTTCCAGAAAGGGTTTGCTTTAATTCAGATTTTGAGGAGATAGAGTCTATCATGGTGGGGAGGGCCTGGTGCTAAAGGTTTACTCACATCTGGGCTAATGAGAAAGTTGCTGTTAAACTTCAAGTCCCATCTCATCAACCTCTCCAATGGTGACCCACCACTTCTTTTCTTTTCTTCTTTCCTTTTCTTCTTTTCTTTTTTCTCTTTTCTTTTCTTCTCCTCTCCTTCCTTTTCTTCTTTCCTTTCTTTCAATTTTTATTATTCTCTCATAAATTACATCCTTGTTGAAGTTTCCCCTCTCTTCCCTCTAGTCTCTCTACCTCTATTCTACCTCCCCACAGACAAGAGCAGGCCTCACAGGGACATCAATCTAGCAGGAACATCACACAGCAACCAGGAATCAGTAATTCCTAGAATTTTTGGCTGCTTTGATAGTGCTGTGATATGAAGCAGAAGTGTGTGCACATGTATGTATGTGCGTGTACCTGTGTATGTATTTAACATTTGTTTTCCTAATAAACACAGAAGCCTTATGTAAGGCACAGCCAGAGGGGCATAAGTCTCCATGTACTCTTCAGAGTAACAAATTATTATTGTCATGTTGGTTAATATAATTGACTTGGGAGTTCTGCATCTTGTAAATCTAGCATTAGGGATTTTGTTATCTTTCAGATAACTCCCTGAAAGAGCTATATAATTTTTATTTATTAGATCATCATTCATTTTTCTTTTAAACAGTCAAAAGTGGAGGGTATCCCTTGACAAAAATTAACTACCTGTACATAGCAGTATAAATTCTGCATGGTTTTGGGATTCCAGGAATGTTTTAGCTATAATATTTATTTCCCAAGTACATTTTATGTGATTTTTATAATCCTGTTTTGTAAATGAGGAAAGGTAAGAGATATAGTAGGTAAATAGCCCCAAGCATTTACTGATATGAATAATGAAAACTTGAATTCATGGTGCCTAGATCTCAGGTCAGCTCTGTGTACATCATGGTATAAAAGTATTTCTTGAAGTTTTACTCATATTCCTGAGTGTGCGTCTTGCTTGGCTTTGATTCCTCCTGCAGCATTAAGGCTGGTATTATCAGTTAAAGGCAATTTATATGCTCCCTGAGATGTATGCCTATATGCTGGTATGTAGATACTCAATGAACCATATCCTAGTCTATCTTAGCCCCAGTGAGGAGGAATTGTGGTTATTTGATTCTTGGGTACAGAATAATGCTACACACATACAGGTGTAGTTTTTTGATTCTAAAAACTGTGTTTATATCCAGATAGATGACTTGAAAACTACACAGTGTCTAGAATTTCATAGAATGTCATAGCCACAGAGTCTTAAAATAACTCTTGGCATCAGAATAGAAAGCTGAGTTTGTTTCGTCTAAGTAGCCTCTGTTCTCACTGCAGGAGTACTGTATATTTACAAGCTTTAGCTGTGTTCCCAAGAGAGTCATGGAACATTCTTACTGTTCTTCAGTCTTTGCTTCAGGCTTCGCAATATCACTGTTGTGCAATCAGAGGCACAGAGACTGCAGCTGTCAGACTAATCTTTTCTGCTTGGATTTGTTGCCAGGGTATACAGTAGTGAATACAAGCTCTGGGGGTGAGCACTGCAAGCACTACCAGAGGCTTCAGCAGCAAATCACAAGCTGTGGATACTTTTTCACCTTCTATAATCTCAGCTAACACTTTTAGGTATGTCCAGCCCTAACATTGACCAAATTCTCATCTCTAGGAAGACATGTATAATAAAGACTGCTTCCTTTAATAGGAGAAATGGAAAACTTGGAGGAAAATGTCTTGCTATTCTTTTAGCTTTATGACTTTGATGATATTATGTAACTTTAATTTTTATAGTATATAAACTGAAGGGAAATAGCTTGGTTTCTAACTTACAGAGGCATACTACAAAGAAAATTTGGTTATTGGGAATAGTGCACAAGGTCTTTGGAAGAAAGTTTTATATTATTATGGAAGTAGTAGGGTTGTCTTGTGAAGTCAAATTGAGAAGTAGAAACAGCTAATTGTTGTTTTCAGTGACTAACCGTTTATTTAAGCTAATTCCAATTACCTACTCTAACTGAGTGGCATACCGTACTTGAGCTTGCTGTAAAACTTTGCCTGGGTGCTGTGGACTCATAAAAGTAGAAGGAACCTAAACCACCATCTGGTGGGTAAGTTAGCTGACATTCTAATTTGGTAATATTTTATTATAATTTTCTCAGCTACATGAAGCTAAACTCTTAGGTAAATATAGTTCCACTTATTACACATTTTGAATTTACTATTGGCATTTGATATTTTACTGTATTATGTGCTTATTGTTCAACGCACAATCAAGAAAATATCAACATATTGCTATTCATTAATGCAGCATTTGATGGACCTCAGAGTAACTCACAATGTTACTCACAAAGAGACCCACAAAGGTAAATATTTTTGTTTCTTCTTGTAATTTGAATAATCATGGATATACAAATCATTAATAAACTATAAAAACCCTTTTTTTGCAGTACTCATCGATGCATTAAAGGGAACTAGGGCTTATTAATTGCATATTATATTTTGACTTGTGTTTACTAACTCAATGAATAATGTCAAACATCATTGGTCCAGATGATACATTAGGTGTAATTTTGGATGACAGTAATAAATAAATTAATCTATGGAAGACTTAAGGAGATTTTAGAGGTTTTCTTTGATCTCCAAAAATGAACATTTAAAAACAAATGCAATACACCAAATACATTATTGTGTATTATTTTTAAAAAATTTGTATAAGAGAGCAAAAATAGTTCTATATAAAAACTGTATATTTTAATGATGTTTGGATGAAAGATGAATTTAGGCTAGAAAATATCTCCAACATGTATTTATTGACTTTTTGATTGTTGATTAAAGGCAAAAATATATGACATAATTTGGCTTCTAGATTTAAGAATTGAAATTTGAGTATTTGCAACTGGCCCACCATTACAGTCTTGTATATAAAGTATGTCTTTGCATAGGTTACTGCATATAATGATCTTCATCGAGATAAAAAATGCTAACTTTTGTGGATTAGTTTTAGTACACATAAAATTATTTTCTATTTTCTTTCTGTCCCTCTATACTTACTGTAGATGTTTTCAAGTACCCATATACCTATTTTTTAATGGCCACACCAGGTTTCACAGATGGCTTCTACCCTAAGTGAGTCTATTTTGTAGGAAGACAGAGTTGGATGCAAGCCCAGGGCTTGCTGCCTAACTGGTTTAAAGGTCAATGCTTTGCAAACCTAAAAGTGTAAATTGTGATATCATAGAGAGCTCAGCTGTTCAGACGATTTAAATGCAGATGTAATTTCTGTGTGGTTTATGAATAGAATTTTAAAATTTTCATTGCTATTAGTATCAATTCTTGGTTTTAAATGTGTACATGTTGATTTGACAAATTACAGCAGAAGTGGAAGTATATCAAGATGAGTTTGAGTCAGAACAAGTATGAAAATATTTTACTACAGGAGCAAAGACACTTCATAATCATTTATGTGGCCAAATAAAAATGTAAAAGTATGTTAAGATGTAGAATACTGAGGGGATGAAGTGTGTGTTGCTGCAGCCAAGCCAGATGACATTTTGTTGGCAAGGCTTCTACCAAGTAGAGGAACACAGGGTTCTCAAGTACTGAAGGATGTTTATCTGTCCTATCTTTTTACACGTAATATCTTGGACTAGGAAAAGATGGAGTAAGACCAAAGATCAGTCCTCATATTTCAGTACTTATAGGAAGATTTGAGAATTTTAAGATGCCACAGATATTCAGATTGAAACTAAGACTAGGATGAGAACTAAAAATCCCTCCCTATGTATGTCTAGTGCTACACTGTAATCTAAGTTCTCTAAAACTTCATTTATCTGAACTATTCTAAGTACATGCCACAGTCCCAGGGGGTGCTTGTACAGGCAGCAGAGTGTTGCAAGATGACAGCTCCTGAAATTTTCAGGAGTGGAGCAGACTCCATATCCCCACCTAATGTTCCATGATCCCAGCACACCACAATTCCCAAACATGTTGCTTCAGCTGCTTACTTGGCATTGTACACACTGCCTGTGTCTATTTAGGTTTTTCCAGAAGTAATGCCAAAATAGAATTAGTCATAAAAGGGATTTACATGGGATGAATAGTTGTGAGGGATGAATGAAGAAACAGAAATAAGGAGTGAGAGAGTAGAGGGAGATGGCTGGAGGGTGGGAAGACCTCAATTGTGTCAACTGGAGAACAGATCAAAGAAAGTCTCAAATGGTTTGATGCAGCATTCTTTTTCAAGGCATACATGACTTCATTCTAGATTTTTGTTGTAAGACAATTGTTAGCCATTTGGTGCTTGAATGGTCTGTTGCATATGGAAAATTGTTTTATTTCTTTCTTTATTTTTTTTTGTCATTGGTGATGGTGACATCTATTGTTTTTGTCTCAGGGTCTCTACTTTTGTTCTACCCTAGATATACCTTAAATTCATAAACCATCTACCTATACTTGTTGAGTGCTGTGGCCACAAGCATGCACGACAACACCAATCTTAAACATATCTTTATGTTAATGAAAATAGTGTTAAGTAAAAGACAATTCATAAATACTTTGGTTTTTGCTGAATGGTGTTCTTCCTGTCATAGATAAAATGTAAATTTAACTTCTTTTTAACATCTTAAGTGGACTGTGGGAAATTAGTTTATTTAGCATATATTTATTAAGGTTGCTTTTTAAACCTTTAATATGTGTTAATGAGTGACTCTTATATTATCATTGTATGTCTCCAGATAGTACAGAAAATACATTGCCCCAGCCTGCAGCACTACACCCAAGCCTGATCAATCCAGTCTTGTACAAGGATTCTCTGAGTGCAAATGTCATTTTTCTTTAGGATGCTTTTCTTGATTGAACCAGCCCATCAGGGCACTCCCATAACACTTCAGAGATGCCCCCCTTTTTAATAATACTTATCAGATATCATTGGTGTTTATTTATTGTCTTTCCATTTTTGACTCCAGTATCAAGTTCTTAGTGCAACAATTTCTATTATTTTTTCCTTTGTTTTCTACTTGCATCTTGAACAATCTCAATAAGAAAAGATTTTTTCTCTACTGTAAAGACATAAAATACAGTATTGTTTGAGCTATTTCATTTAAACTAAGCAGACTAAAAGAATGGAAATATTTCTGGAATCTTATGAATGTTCTGTTTTAGTAAAAACAAAAAAACAAGATTTTGATGCTGCCAAAGTATTCAGAATCATATCTTTTATGCTAACCTGTGACATTTTACTAATCTGAATAAATTTTTAATAACTTTTCAAAAAATGTACAACCATGAGGTTCTTCTTTGAATAGAATATTCAGTTGAATGACAGTCTATTTCACTTAGAAGGGTGAAATTTACTTTAAATTTTGCTGACAGGTTTTCATAACAGCCTTCAAATGGAAGTTCAAATTCACTTGTCATAGCTATTAAAGAACTAGTGTTTTTCACTTTTTTGTGTGCTTCTGTGTTCCAATCCTCTCTTAATTTTATTGTTTCCCCTGATTTTAAAGGTAGAAAAGGGGATATAGACAGATGTTTGGTTCTGAAGGCTGTAGTCCAGCAGCAGAATAATTCACTACTGAATTCTAAAGAAAAGCATCAATGAAATGTGGCAGAATTGTGCTAACTTTCACACCACATTTGCAATCTCTTTTGTTCTCAGGAGAACAAGAACACCTGGTAGATTTTAAATCCCTGTCAGCTTTAAAATGGTACAGAATATTTTGTATGAAAAAAGATTTCAAGTAGATAAACCTGGGATAATAACAAAATTGTAAAACAATTCCTTGATTATGTCATATATATATATAATTTTGCTACTTTGGCTAGCCAGGGATCTCTGTGGTTTCTCTGAGATTTTAATTTTTAATTATAAAAATTGTTTAAGTTTAATATTTAATTATAATAGAACATTCATATATATTGCTAAAATTTCATTTTCTTGTAGAAGTAAAGTTGTCAATATCAAAATAAAATGATGTGTCCTTTACTTTTTCCAGAAAGACAAAGTGAAAAGTCAGAGACACATTTGCTGTCATTCACTTGTTAGATAACAGCACTAGTGTGGTCAACTCACCTTTAAAATAACACTAATGTGCAAAATAAGATACTTTCAGACTCTACAAATAAATTTTCACTTGTCAAGTTTTTATATCAGAAACTCTAACTTTTAGATTTTGTTGCTCTAACATCTACTGATTGCTGGTACCTTAGGTGATCTGTGATTTGTGTACTATGATATTTATAAGGAGTAGTCAAGGAGGATCCAGGAGAAATTCAGCTAAAGGTCAAGGAAGCAATTAGTATCTCTGATCTTTCCTAAAGTATGTCTACAGCAAATCTTGGTTAAACCTTAAATCTAGATTCTTCACATGAGGAAAAACATGTGATATTTGCCTTGTGGGCATGGCTTATTTCATTTATCATGAAACCACTACCTTTTTTCTCTTTTTTTTTTCAGAGACCAAAGACAATGATGATGACAAGCAGGTGGTCTCAGAGATCATGGCAAGAAGCTTTATTCCAACTCTGATAACGACTGTTTCTTGGGAAGGCTTTTACTTTGCTGGTCATGAGATTCAGATTACTGAAGGCAAAGATTGTTATGGTGCATTTGTTTGGCCATCGGTATAATTTGTTATGTATTTGCTTTCCTCAATTATTTCCCAGTTTCATTTATTGTTATATGGTACTTGGAAGAAGGAAACAGGTTGCAAGATTCTAGACTGTGATCTTAGACAACACTAAAATTTAGTGTTGGGTGTTTGCTTCCAACAATTAAATTTGTTTTTGACTTTATCAACATTTATAGGCTAAATAAAAATGTAGATGGCTTCAGTTTTTATGACTATGAGAAGTGAGAGGAGTAAATGTTTTTATTTCCCATTTTATTGGCTCTGTTTGAGTTAAGCAAGCATACAGAATATCTATATGGCACTCATAAACAGGATACTCTTAAAGGATACTACTCCTTTACCACTTATCTCATGAAAGGTGGCAGACCACCATTACTCCCATCTCAACCTCACACATTACTTAGAATTCTCTAGATTTGTTAAAGTTTTAAGATGGTCAATTTTAAACAGCTACACTCTTTTACACATTTCTGTCTTTCTTTTTTTAACAAGGACATTTTCTAGCCAGTCAAAATTTTGAGCCCAACAGAGGATGTACTTCTGATGATATGGACATCCATAAATTTACTTATAACTATATGTGCACACGTGCAGATCATAATAGTTTTGGTGTATTTACTTAATAAGGTGTACTTTTACTATTATTATTTATTAAATGACCTTTCCTCTCAATTTCCATAGGCCCTTGTTCTATGCTATTTTCTGGAAACACATGCCAAGCAATATAACATGACTGATAAAAATGTGATTGAAATTGGAGCTGGGACAGGGCTTGTCTCCATTGTGGCAAGTTTACTTGGTAAGTCAATATGTTTTTATTGAATGGAATTGGTCAGAAAACCAGTGATCAAATATTAGTTACTTTTGCTTTTCAGTGTATTATCATCTGGGCTTATGTGTAACTCTTTAACTGTTTAAAACAGACTTCATCAAGAAACTCTACCAATGTTAATGTCTCTTTGCTGGTTTCTTTCTAGAATTTTCTGTTTAAGTAATTTTAAATTTTCCTGTGGAATGTAAAATTAAAAACCTAGATAGAGGGTAAACTTAATCATCCTGCTAAATTCCTTTGGGGGTCTTGGAGTCCTATACTTTTATGAACATGTACCAGTTAAAATAGGGAGGGAGTACTAGAAATCGCATGAAGCTCATAGCTCTGCTTTGATTTTTAGAGATTTGTCCTTGGTTTGTTTTCATATTTCCATTTTTCATTTATGACCTCCAGTTCTCTCACCTCTATCTTTTGCAACTGAATGTGCAATACTAACTTTTGGCATGGCTTCCATGGTTCAGTCCAATATTTGTTGTTCTTTTAATTTGGTTGCCTTCTCTGAAGTTCACTACCCTAATCTATCTTAATTACTTTGGTCTTCAGAAGTACAAAGCTATGGCTTTAAAATCTTGAGAGGACTTTAAGATTTTGTAATTTACAACTTTCTAATCACTAAAAAAAATACAGGACCCTTGACATCCTTCCCAGTACTGAAGTAAAAAATTTCCTCTGGCTGGATGCTGTTTCCTGTAGTGTGGTTAGAGTCAGGGACTCTATTCAATATCTGTTGAATCTCTCATATTCTAGGAGCAGAGTCTGTATTTTGGGAAGCCATTCAGTTCATTTGGTCAGTATCTGGAAATTGATAATGTTTGTGTCTGTAAAAACAAAGACATCATGTACAGTAGCTGGCACTTTCAACACAGTAAGGGCAAGATGTATTCCTTACCTTGGAATTTTAAAAAAGGTTTATTGAAAATTAGATTTATCTACATTAAAATGTGAAGGTTAGTATTTCTAGGATTCTATCAATGACTTGCATATTTCCCTTCCACTTTAATTTCCACAAGAATATTATTGCAATTGATGTGAAGAGATATCTTTTTTGTTTATTTGTTTGTTTGTTTGCTTGTTTGTTTTTTCAAGACAGAGTTTCACTGTGTAGTCCTGACTGTCCTGGAACTCACTCTGTAGACCAGGCTGGCCTCGAACTCAGAAATCCACCTGCCTCTGTCTCCCAAGTGCTGGGATTAAAGGCATGTGCCACCACCGCCCTGTGTGAAGAGATATCTAACATGTGACTAGTCAATGGTTCTGGTTCATTCTGAGCTTACTTCTTATTCAGTTGTGGTTTCTCATTCCTTATCCTAGTTTGTACTGCATGTTACTATGTCTTTGCACAATTCTAGCTTTATTTATAGGTTAATTATAGGTTAATTTATTTATAGGTTATTTTTAGGTTCTGTTACAGTTCAAAATTCACTTTAAGAACCAAATTTCTAGAAATTAGCTGCTGCCAAGGTCCTTCCTGAAAAGGCCACTCCTCTTTGCTCAGACCTCAGAAACTGCTTCTGTCTTCTTCCTATAAGCATTCTGTCCTGCATCTAGGACCTTTGGCTTTAAGACTGTACACATGCATATCTCCTGGTAGTAAGATTTATGCTTAGAATGGAGGCAAGGAGAAACTGGCTGTAAACATCCATGTCACAGTACTTCATGTGATGAACTGAGACGGATTACATTCCTTTCTCTACTCATATGGACACTTCCTGTTCAACCACAGAATATCCAACACTACCTATAATTCTTTGATCCTACATAAAAGGCTCAGAATTGTTGCTTTTTGACTCTTGATGATCATGTTTATTAGTGGATTGGAAAAATAAAAAAAATAAATCAACCTTTGGAAGAATTAGGTCATTTCTTAATATCAACATGTATGCAGACCTCTCTTCTGTTGTATTTTCTTGTATAGGATAAATCTTTTGCTTCAGGCAACTCTTAGTGGAGGGATGACTAATGAAATATCACCACTAGAGACAAAGAGTATTGGAATATTCCACTTTGTTGAATTACTAATCCCTTCATATGTCTTTACATTGATTTCTATAGTAGCAACTGTTATTTACAAGTAATCCAGTATCATATTCCACTGGTGGTTTTTTTTTTTTTTTTTTAGTGGGTGATCTACTTGCAAGTCCTGACTCATTTCTTTTTTCTTGTGGTCATTTCCCCCCTGTTCTGTAATAGCTAAATGGAGAATGATGATGAACTAGGCAACAACCCAGGGGTTCAGTATTCTTCTTTTAAAAAGAGGGTCAGGAATGTTTTGGAGTCCATTCTGAAAAACATTATCCTTTTGTATGTGTTCCCAGTCTTTTCTTTGGATCTAGCAGTTGTGAAAAATCTCAGCGTGCATATTAGTTTGAAACCTGACTGACATTCCAGGAGGATCACCTTTCATACAAACCTCTTTTTCACAGGTGCTCGTGTGATTGCTACAGACTTACCTGAATTACTTGGAAACCTGCAATATAATGTTTCAAGAAACACCAAAATGAAATGCAAGCATTTGCCTCAGGTCAAAGAACTATCCTGGGGAGTAGATTTAGACAGGAATTTCCCCAGGTCTTCAAATAACTTTGACTACATCCTGGCAGCAGATGTTGTCTATGCCCATCCATTCCTGGAGGAGCTTCTCATGACTTTTGACCATCTCTGCAGAGAAACTACCGTTATACTCTGGGCTATGAGATTCAGGCTAGAGAAAGAAAATAAATTTGTAGATAAATTTAAGGAACTGTTTGACCTGGAAGAAATTTCTAGTTTCCCTAGCCTGAATATTAAGTTGTACAAAGCTATGAAGAAAAATCGGAGGAGTGCATAGTGCATTGTGACTGTGAATGAGGACATGAGCATGCTAAAGTACTTTCTAGTAAATAGCTACTTTAAAGAACACACATGCGCGTGTGCCCGTGAACACACACACACACACACACACACACACACACACACACTCTATTGTGAGAGTAAAAGTAACTCTAAATTTACCTTATTGGAGGCAAGGATTTTTACATACACACAGTAGGTATAGGATTAAGATAATTTGTTCCCAAGTCTGTCTGCTCAGCCCTCTAATTGCATAGTAACACAAACTTTCAGCAGCACCACATTATTCTCATTACAAAATGGCAATTTTCAATAATGATATCTCTAACTGAATGTTATTAATTGCATTTCTTTTTGAAAAATATATCTTAGATTGGCCTTGAACTTGAAATCTTACCTCAGCCTCCTTGAGTGTTAGAACTATATGTATGTACTACCATTCCCATCCATGTTGTTAGTCCTTTTAAGTGTAGGTTTAAATGATTATATCTTTATAAACCCAGAAAGTATCTATAATGAAAATAAATCTGAAAAGGCAGATATATGATATAATGGTTAGTTTTAGATGCCTCTGGTTCCCAACAGTCCAAGCTTAGAAGTGGGCTGCCATCTCTGTTTGGCAGTTTGGACCTCTGGCATAACTACTAATTAAACCAAATATGTGCATCTGAGGTTTTGAGCAAGAATATTTTCCTCTAATAGATAAAAAATATGAATGGAAAGAGATAAGAATACCTCAGATTGGTCAGTACTTTTAATGTTGGTCAAGCTTCAAAAATGGCATATATAGCTTGATCATGTCTTGATCACCTTTTTGTCCTGGAAATACTTTTATTCCTGCTCATTGTGTTAAAGCTTTTCTTCAACAACATCAACATGTTGGCAGCCAAGTACATAGCTTGAAACTAAAAATGGACCCCAGACAGTGTTTGTAAATTAACAGGCTGGCAAGCCAAAGATGGGTAAGATTCTGCACTGAGCCTTACCAACCTAAGACCCTTACCAACCTAAGTGCATTGCTTTTGATAATGCACATTCCATGATGGATAAGGAAGGCATTCTTGTCAGAATGACCTAAGACTGGTTCAGTCTTGTTAATGAAATAAAAAAGAGGGAGAGGTGGGGAGCCTTTGGGGCTGCTTGGCAAGAATCTGACATTGGCCAAGGACAAGGAAGTAGGCTTCAGGCAGGAATATGACATTAGGCTAGAACAAAGAAGTAATTTCAGGTAGGAATCTAAATCTTAGGCTAGAACAAAGAATTAATCTCAGGCAGAAACCTAAATATTAGGCTAGAACAAAGAAGTAATTTCAGACAGGAATCTAAAGTTTAGGCTAGAACAAGGAAGTGGGCTTCAGACATGAAAATGACCTTGGGCTAGGACAGAGAAGTAGGCTCAGATACTTTGGTCATCCTGATAAGCCCTTAGAAACAGTGATCACAGGAGTGTCCATGTAATTGGGTTTAATGCCTTGCTTTTTCTTTGACTATTTGTGTTTATTGTATTACTTATTCCTTGACTATTTGCATCTATTGTATTGCTAGACCCTCAATATACAATATCTGTATTGTAAACATATAAAATATCCAATAAAAAAAGTAAAAAAAAAAGGAATATCTCAGATTAAACTGAACTCTGGTAGAGTGTGAGGAAGAGGCAGGTGAGTTTGAGGCCAGCATGACCTAATAAACAGGTTTCAGAATGGCCAGGGTTACGAAAAGAACCCCTGTCTAGCAAAACATATAAACAAATCAAAATAAAAAGAATTCCAGAGATTATTGTGTCTTTGTTTCACAGAAAAGGTAATAGTGATAAGAACTTTGGGTTGGAAGTACATACAAACATTGAGGTTCCTAATCTCAAATAAGCAATCATGGCTTGTTTTAAGGTTTGACTCTTCTGATAAGCGCAGATATACCTAGATCTTTGCAAGCCTCTTAGGCTTTTTATGTGGCCCTTTGAGATTAGAATTAGGTTTATATGCAAGTAAAGTCAATGTGGAAAGAGTAAACAATTAGGCCTTTATGTCATGCTACTATCTGAATTATGATGGTTGGCAACTCTACAATGTCCTCTGCTAGGCTATCATGTGCACTTGGTGACACTTGATCCTCCAGAGTTAGCTCTGTCCTCTTGACTGAACACTGCCATGGTCAAACACATCGACAAACAACTCCTGGGTCCCTCACTATAAATTAGAATGTAGACACACTGCTCTTAGTACATAGATTTTCTTAAGATCATGGCTCAGCAGGTTTCTCCTTGAATGGATATTTGGCCTCATGCTTATGTAGTGTTCAGCCTGCACAGAACAGTGATATAATTATTCTCACTTCACAGATAAAAACAGAAGCCTAGATTGCATAGCTGCACAGTGAAATTTAGGAACCCGGGTTTGAGCACAGAGTCTGCCTTTATAACTCTAGTACTGTCTTTACGCATTGGAAAAGCAACTTTCAAAGACTCTTAAACATCTGAGGTCAGTTCTTCAAAAGGAAATAGAAACTCAGAAAAGAATAAAAAATGATATTAAAAAATAAGACATACTTCTCTTTTTTCTTTTCTTTTTTTTTCAAATCGTAATTTTTACTTATTCACACATGGGTTAAAAACACAAAAAAAGCAGGGTGTGGGGAAGGGAATGACACTGGAGTGTGGGTGTTCAGGGGGAGTACAGGTATCTTTCAGAACAGGGTATTGGCTGGGTGGAGGTTCAGGGGAAAGGTCGCTATGACTCTACCTATGATTCACTTGTCCTTATCTAAGTTGATATTATCTGCCAAGGCTACCTATTTACTAGATCTGTGACTACTCAGGCTGGTAAATTTCCATACAAGCTGCTTGTTTACATAGCTTACAGCCATCTGTTTCAATGTTTTTCCACAGAGACCCAAGACTTGGTGTTAGTATACAAAGACATACTTCTCTTTACACTGTCTCCAGACTTTCTACCCATGGTAGGAGACATCAGAGAAGGATGAGTGGAAGAAGGTTTACTAGAAGGAATGAGAGTTGTGCCTTAGGAAGGAGAAACAGCCATGAAAGAATCTGCAGGCAAAGGCATGCTTATCTACTTGAAGAAACATCAAAGTAGTGTGGCAAAGGGGCAGGCAGAGATATTGGTGAGGTCTGAAGAGAGGCAGGAGGAAGTATATCATAGAAGTCCTGTACTATGAGCTATGGGAGAGAATATGATTCGTAGTAATTAGTTAGACTGTGCAACTATTAGTTACTCTATATGGCCATTGGTTAGACTGTATGCTGATTGGTTAGGCTATGTAGTTGTGATGGAGAATTGAAGAAAAGAATAAAGGCCAGTTTCTGCTGACCCATTCATTACTAGACTTTGAATGGCCTGTTTCGGGTGTAATTCTGGTTAGAGTAAGGCATTTGGCTCTTTAGACATTTTAAAATCTGTCCTAGGAAGACTGGGAAAGTGGTGATGGTTGTGAGCTGTCTCGATGCAGCATCCATAGATGGCCTAGTGATAAAGTCATTCTGAACTTACCTGGGAAGTTGATCATCATATCTACCACAACATTCTGGGCTCCTGAAATAATTCTGGCCTTTTTCTCTGCTGAATTGGAAAATCACTGAATGGTTCTAAGTAAAGGAGTGGCATAATGCTGTTGCTTGTAAAGACTGCTTGGCCTCAGAGTGGAGAGACCAGCTAGGAGCTGTGGTAGCCATTCCAGCAGAAGACATCAAGAAATGTCTGTGGGAGTGGTGGGATCAGCCCCTCTGGCTGTACTCTGAAGCCAGAGGCAGCAGAGTATTTCTACCAAGTGAAGTTCGGAGTGTCAACAAGGAAGTCAGGGCTGAATGAACTGTTCGGGAGAGCCATACCACAGGACCTTAGCTTTCTATTCAGAGAAGGCTTGTGAATCCCCTTTGTGGGTCTGCGTAAGGGTATTCTGGGTCATGGTTGGGCAGTTGCCTAGAACCCCGAGACTTTACGTGAGAACTGGCAGGAGTTCGGCTCACCACAAGAACCCAGGGTCCTGAAAAGCAGTCTAGTCCCCCTGAAACTCAGTCATGTAGGCCAGACACTACAACCCCTCCCAAAGTATACAGGTAGAGGGTGTGACTAGAGGCCTCAGGGCCTAGGAATTTACATACTAATGAAGGTCAGAGGGCAGAGCAAATTAAGCATGCCTCCCCAGATCCTCCCCCATCCTCCCCCGATCCTCCCAGATCCTCCCCCTTTCTCCCTCCCTATATAACTCGGGACTGCCCTGAGTTTTACGGGGGTGTACTTCCAGATCCATCTACCATCCACCATGACAATAAACCCTTTTGTAACTAAGGACTTCCTCATGTCATTGGGGCCTGCTGCTGACAAGCCTCCAGGCCGCTGGAACCTTAGATGTTCCTCCTGCATGTGGGACCCGAAGCAGTGTGGAAACCCACTGGGACTCCACTTCTGCAGCCTGTAATTTTTTCCCCACACCACCTCACACAGCAAGAGAGAGTAAAAGGACAGACTGAAGCCCTGAGGTTCACCGGCATCGAGGATCAGACACGGATGCCTTTTCAGAATAGTTTTGGAGGCTCTGTGCCCTTCCTAAACTGCAGTTCATCCTGAAAAATATGAGTTTAATGTCACAGACTTCTAGATTCTGTCACTGGACTTTCTCATGCCTATAAATTGTCTCAGAAGAGTCTAAAGATCTGAATATCACAAGTTTGGCAGCAACAGTCTTGGTGTAATAAATGGGGGAAAGCAACCTACCCTGACTCTTGCCAAAAAAGCATTTGAATACGAGTGTGAAATAATGTTTAAGTAGGGAAGATAACGTATCCTTTCAAAGACTCTTGGGACAAAACCAGCCATTTGGTTCTTTAAAATTATTATTCTTTTTCTTATGTTACCAACTTTTCCATATCTATTGTCTTCTGTTTATTGCTTTTACTTTGGAATTGTAGCATTACCCTCTTGCATGATGCCTCTGTCCTTCCAGTTCACTCCTCTGTGTTTTGTCTCTTTCCTTTCCTCTCCTCTCCTCTCCTCTCCTCTCCTCTCCTCT